TTCGCGTCATTAAATGACGCTTGTGCTACTGCACATGCTGACTCTGAGGCTGCTGATAGTTCATTTGTTCAAAGGTTCTGGGAAAAAACTTAGTGTTGTGTTTGACCACTGAATTGGATGTGGATAAATTTCTAAAATAATATTCATAATATCTGGAATGTCGTCAACACCTCTAAAGTAAAATATTATGTTATGATCAACTATATCTAAATAAAAAGTAATATATATTTTGTTGAAAATAATGATTACCTTAGCTTTATCAAACGTGCCATGGTATACATAATATATCTTGCAAGTAGTTCAGATTCCGCAAACAAAATCTGCTTTTCTCGAGTTGGACCGGATAAAGATCTAATAAACTTACAATCTGTTTGCATCATCTATATGTAAAACACCAATACTATTAGTTCAATAAATATGAATAAATTATAAAAGTCAGAAATAGAATCATTAACTACCATTATATGCAAAGCAAACAATTCTACATCACGATATGTTTGTCTGTTTTCTAAATAGGAAACGGAATATTTGATGTAATGTAATAAATCTGGTGCCTTTGCAGAATATTTCAAAAATCTATGAAATCTATGACAAAGGAGTTGTAGAATAGTATGTTTCCAGCGTAATGCAGTTTCGGTCAACGCAGCTTCCCCTTCAGCACGAGCTTTAGAAACTTTGTCAAAATGCTTCAGCTTTTCAAGAATCTCTTTAACTAATCTTTCTAATCTAAAATCATACTTAAATGGTGAGAAACAAATATAATATGACAACTCCAACAATGTTACTTACGACCAAGGTGCACTATAGACAGTTTTATAAAGTACATCTAAAATATAAGGCGAAACGCATGTTATTTTCTGTTCAGATACATTTATGCTGAATTTTGGACCAACATCTCCATCAAGCGACATTTTGAATATAAATTCTACAAGTCTATTATAGAATTTAGTATTATAAATAAATGAACTAATTATAATAAATATTAATATAATATACCTATTCTTATTAAAGATATTAATTAAATCTAGAAGCTTATATTCAATAATGCCGCCTTTCAGAAATTTTGCATCTGGAAATCCAAGTTTTCCCGTTTCGAGTCTATTAGGAGCCAAATAAGCGTATAAAGTATCGGCCACGATATTGCTTATTTGACTGGCAATGGAAATCTTTATCATTTCTTGGATGGGTAAATTTCTAAATAAGTCATGTTTCATCAAATTTTCTAAATGAATGATGAATTAAATTTCATAAACAATATATATATGTAAACTAAAGATTCAGTATTTATAAATCTAAACCTTTATATTTTTCAAAATCTTTTTTAAGGTGATGGAATAAAGAATTATAAGGTAATGAAGCAAGTTGAGGATGTCTATGTCTGAGATTAGATATATCACGTATATCTCCTTGTTTGGAATTTAACTAATTGAATCAATTATAATTGTTAGTAATTCCAAAGTATTTTAGTAAATCGCGGATAAGAATTTGAATAAATGAGAATTACCGCGCATTGTAGCGCCAGATCTCGTAAAAAAAAAGAATCTTTAGATCTAATCTGTTGATCATTGTATAATTGTATAAGCGTGTTGAGCAACCTTTCATCAGATTTCAAGTCTTCAGAAATCATATTTCCAATTTTATCCAAGTCTAATTAGTATATTAATTAATACATTTTATCAAGGAAGATATAGCCTTGTATTTTTGAAACATGCACAATTAATTATATATAAATAAAGGATACAAAAAAGTGAAACCAATAACCAGATCAGAGTATTATCTTTAGGGACCATGTTATGATGTTCTCCACGTTTGGGATGAACCATGTAATAAAATTTTGAGAGAACTTCTTCGTATTTTAAATAACTATTTCAATCAATCAAATTCATGCGTCAATAAAAAAATTGGATAATAACTAATCGGATGAAAAACATACTCTGCTGCGACTAAACTATATAATTGATCCCCAAGTTCAATAATAAGTTCCCAAAAATTAAGATTTTCAGGAATAATTATGTCTTCACTTGAATGTTGATCTATCGCAAGAATGAAGTTAAGCTATGGAAAATGAATGAAATTGGAACAAATAAATATGTTAGAAATACCTATTCTGGGCTCTTCAAAGTTTGACCGAGATTGGATTGATCTGATAACATCGCGCACTTTATCAAAAAAGGCAGTACGCATATGCTCTGTTGCTTGAGTAGCTGGTTTTATAGATTTAATCATATTCTTGAATTCTTCAAAGGATGCGCGTTGATACAAAATATCACGAAAGCGTGAAGAAAATTTTGTGGCATGCCCTTCTTCTATAAGTTGTTCCTAAAATCCAAATAAATAAATAAAGTCGTCAAGGAATGATTTCTAAAAATGAACATACGTAATCACATGAAAATGCTTGATAAATGGGCAGGTGGGTTATATCGATGTATTCATGAGGACGACTAATAAAGGCAAACTTTCGTATTAATTAATGCAAAAACAATAATGTAATTTAAATTCTAAAATTATTAGCATAAATATTAGTAAACCTGTATTTAGAAATCAATGGCCAAGATGCGTCTGTAAAGAGTTTATATAATAATTAAGAATCTTAAATATTTCTCTAAATTACAAATATTTAAGTTACCAGGTGGAATCATCAAAAGTGCAAGACGTTTGCGACGTTGACATAACTCATTCACAAATTCCTCCATGGACCAGTGAACATTAATAAAATGCCCAAGAACAGGATTTCCGTACACATCATGCAGCTATAACAAATAGTGCAAAAACGAATTTAAAATGTTATCTGATATAATCATTTATATGATTCTTACCTGTTCAATGACCTGAAAATGCGAAACACAACCAGCACCTCCACAATCTTTGCCGATCAAAAAGGTTTCAATTATCTGGCGCCCTTTTTCAACGCATTTATACTTTTGTTTATCAAGAGATGATTGAAGTTCGTTAATTTGTACCAAAATAATTTTAATAATGTAAGTAGCCAAATCTGGTTGAATTTCCATCATAGCTCTAGGATTTTTTTGTAAAGTAATATGCATAAATGAAAGAACGCCCATCCATGATTCAGGACATGAAATATTAATAAGGCCTGAAATATCTTTGAAAATTTGTGAAATTGTTATATGCATAACGGGTTGAAGGGTAGAAGATGGTTGTGAAATATCACCACCGAGAGCTAATAGCAGTCCAAATGTTGTCGGTGTGTCAGTTATTAAACCTTTAAATATCGATAATATAAGAGTTATACGCTCCCATGTCGGAGATATAGTGAATAATGATATAATATAACTTATAAGATCTCTCTAAATAAATTGAATAGGAGATATAAATATTTGTTCCGTACAATTATTAATAACAATCTCCGATATATTATTTAAAATACCGTATTTCCGACTGCCAATGAAGCTTTGAAAAACTCCTGAACAAGTTTAGTTATTTCGTCTGAAGTTTCTAGTACTAATTCGAAATCATCCTTTTTTTCAACACTTTTATCACTTTTAAATCGTTTGGCTGGAGAATCGAAAATTCTAATTTCATATTACATAATATTGAGTTCTTTTTCCCATTTATGGCAAAAAAATAAATAAGACATGAAAAAAAAGACAAAGAATAATAAAGTACCCAGAAAATGCTATCTCTGAAGATTGAAATAAATCCTAATGTCAAATTATTCAGAATAAAAACTAAATAAATAAATTTCAAAGTACAGAATACATCATGAATCAAAGTGTCCATTGTAAATACCTGCTCGGATTTTTCACGAGATTGTAAAGCATTTAGGAGTAAAGCTTTAAATTCCGTTGTAAGATCTGCGTTCATATTCATTATTAAAAAAAAGAAGTGAATTGTATGATTTTTTGTAAAATAAAATTAGCACCCCATGATCAATCAATAATATTACAGGGGTGAAGAGTTACACTTTATAACAGATAATGCAGTAATATCTGAAAAAAGTGGTTCGAGATTACTAACTTAATCTACGCATGAAATACCTTTAGCAATGGTAAGGAAAAAAAATTATATGCATACATATAAATTTCTATAAAATGCTCTATTTCTTTAATGAAAAAACTTTATTTCGAAAATCAGCCTCCAAAAAAAACCAAACGTAATAGTACCTCAGTAGGTGGTACTGCTAAGGGCAGCAAAAAAAGTTCAGAGAAGAAATTTGAAAAAGCTGATTGGAAAGAGAAATTTAACAAGAAACAAGCTGGAGTCTCAGACATGACATTGTTGAGTAAAGTTAACAATGATTCGATTAATGAGAATTTGAAAAAAAGATATGAGAATCATGAGATTTATGTGTGTAAATTTATATAAACATTTGATCTAATTACTATTCGATTATTAAAAGCATTTTTAACCTAATTTTTCTTATTTTCATTAAGACATATATTGGGCATGTGCTTATTAGCGTTAACCCATTCAAAGACTTGGGTATTTATACAGATCAAATATTGAAAAGTTACACTGGAAAAAATATGCTCGAAGTATTTAAGATTTTTCTATCTTTAACCATTCAAATTTGATATAAAAGTTATCAATCAACATATTTTTATTTAATAGATGCCACCTCATGTATATGCAATTGCTGAATCAGCTTATTATAACATGAACAGTTACAAAGAAAATCAGTGTATAATTATCAGGTATTGAATTTGCCTATTTAACAGACCTTAAATATTTCTTATAATTCAGTATTTTCGTGTTTCCTTTAATAGTGGAGAATCTGGCGCTGGAAAAACTGGTGTGTAATCAATATTTATAGTATCTTATTGTTATTCATCTCTACAATTAATCATTTTTGGCACTTATATAGAGGCTGCAAAAAGAGTACGAGTATTCTCTGTATATTTATCTTAATTAAAAATTTTTAACCATGCGCTCATTTAATTGTATATTCGATTTGTATTTAGATTATGCAATATATTGCAACTGTGAGTGGTGGTGCATCATCTCAAATTAAAGAGATTAAAGACATGGTTTTAGCTACAAATCCTTTATTGGAAAGTTTTGGCTGTGCTAAAACTCTTCGTAATAATAATTCTAGTCGTCATGTTTGTATATAATTTATTTATTTAAAGAGTGGTTCTTTTTACAAAAAAAATTTATAAAATTTAAATCGAACTTTCAGGGGAAATATTTAGAAATTCAATTTAATTCTGGGGGGGAACCCGTTGGTGCTGTTATCACTAATTATTTATTAGAAAAGGTAAATTTTTTTGATTATCTATTATGCTACGTGTATTATGTGATTATTCAAAAGTATTTCTATATTTAAAATGTCGGTTTTATTATAGGGGCGAATTGTTGGACAAATTGAAAATGAACGTAATTTTCATATTTTTTATCAATTCACCAAAGCAGCTTCTCCCGAATATCAAGGTTCGTTTCGATTAAATAGAAAATAGAATTACTTTATTATTTTTTTATTATTTATGTTGCGCAATACTTTATTATTATTATTACAGAACAATTCGGAATTCAGGGCCCTGAAAGTTATTTGTATACTAGTAAAAGTGGATGCTTAGATGTTGATGGCATCGATGATACTAAGGATTATTCTGAAACTTTAGTGAGTAATATATATGTTTTAACAAATGATTAAGAAAAGTTGTAATGATCATATATTATCTATATCTTCAATGTACGATTAATTTAGGAAGCGATGAATATTATTGGTCTGACACAAAGTGAACAAGATAATATCTTTAGAATGTTGGCAATTATTTTATGGTTGGGAAATGTACAATTTGATGAAGGTGATGATGGAAATTCTGTTGTTAGCGATGAAGATGTCACAAATTTTATCGCATATATAATGGAAGTTGATGGAGCCATTCTTGCAAAAGTATACATTTTGTTTTATATATATATAGTTTACATTAAATAATATTTATTCTAGATTAAATGTTTTTTTATTTTTATTATATTATATGCAATAGGTATTGACTAATCGTACTATTGAGGCATCCCGTGGTGGACGTCGGGGCTCAGTGTACGATGTTCCTTTGAATACAGTCCAGGTTTGTAATTTTTTTTTTGTATCTATATTTGTTAATGTTGTAACCAACCAGTATTTATTTTTTTAAGGCATCAGCCGTACGTGACGCCCTTGCCAAAGCAATATACAATAATTTATTTGAGTGGATTGTGGAGCGTATAAATTCAGCCCTACGGTCCCGCACCACAGCATCTCACGTTATAGGAGTATTAGATATTTATGGCTTTGAAATCTTTGAAGAAAATAGTTTTGAGCAATTATGCATTAATTATGTCAATGAAAAACTCCAACAGATTTTTATTGAACTTACTTTAAGGACTGAACAAGAAGAGTATGTTAAAGAAAAAATTAAGTGGACTCCTATTGAATTTTTTGATAATAAAATTGTATGTGATTTAATTGAAGGGAAACGCCCACCTGGTATATTCGCGTCATTAAATGACGCTTGTGCTACTGCACATGCTGACTCTGAGGCTGCTGATAGTTCATTTGTTCAAAGGTTGGGTTTCTTGAGTTCAAATCCACATTTTGAATCTAGAGGTAGCAAATTCTTGGTGAAACATTATGCTGGGGATGTTTTATATACAATATCAGGTATGACTGATAAAAATAAAGATCAGTTAGTGAAAGATTTATTGGAATTAATCGAAAGTAGTGGAAATGAATTTGTGGGACGATTGTTTCCAAATAAAGTTGATCGTGACAGTAAAAAAAGACCTCCTACTATTGGTGACAAAATTAAGGTATTTTCAGTATTTAGAATTAGAGATGCTTATCGATATTATTTTTACCGTAATGTTAATATGTTATTTTATAGTTATCAGCAAACGCTTTAGTTAATAATTTAATGCAAGCCCGCCCATCATATATTCGAACTATAAAACCAAATCATAATAAAAGTCCATCAGAGTTTGATCAAAAAATAGTATTACATCAAATAAAATATCTTGGGCTTAACGAAAATATTCGGGTAAGAAGAGCAGGATTTGCTTATAGGCAAACTTTTGAAAAGTTTTTGGAAAGGTAATGCATCAATCTTGAAATTTTATTTATGAATTTGCAAGAATATTATGCACTAGTTTTTATTGAAGATATATTATTATTTGATAATAGGTTCTACTTGTTATCAAGTAAAACATCGTATGCTGGTGAATATATTTGGCAAGGCGAATCGAAAACTGGAACAGAACGAGTTTTAAAAGATTGTGGAATTGCTACCGAAGAATGGCAAATGGGTGTCACCAAAGTTTTTATTAGACATCCAGAAACGGTGTGATTCTGTAAATTTACAAGTCTTTTGATATTAATCGTGTGAATCAGCATTATAACCAATTTGTTTGTAGATTTGGGCACTTGAACACCTTAGAGATCGATATTGGCATAACATGGCATTAAGAATTCAACGTGCCTATCGTAGCTATGTTCGTTATAAAAATGAATGTGCAACGCGCATACAACGATGCTGGACAAAGAATAAGGATCAAATCATTTATGTACAGTTACGTAATGATGGGCATCAAATATTAGCGGAAAGAAAGGAAAGACGAAGGTTTAGTCTGTTAAGTATGAGAAAGTTTATGGGAGATTATTTATTTGTCAGTGTACCTGGTGGCAGCGGCGAGGAATTAAGGAATACATGCGACATTGGAGGTATGTTTAAACTGAGATTATGGTGATTACCCAATTATTTAATTTATTTATTGATCTTTGTTATTTTATATCTTAGAAAATGAAGCAGTAGCTTTCAGTAGTAAGATTCAACTTCTTGTTGCCCGTTTTGGTCGGGCTAGTAAACCAAGTCCAAGAATGTTAATTTTGGTATTTATGAATGATTTGTCTATCTTATTTCCAGGAAAATTTCAAGTTTTTGGTATAATTTTTTTTTTTTACCTTATTAGACCGACAAAGCTATATATATTGTTATTTCAACACTTGAAAAGAAACTTCTGACAATGAATGTTGAAAGAAAAATTCCTCTTGTTACAATTAAAGGTGTTAGTTTATCACATTTACGAGATGATTGGGTGGTATTACATCTTAATAATCCAACGAAAGAATTAGGAGATTTAGCATTTTCATGCCTTTTCAAGACTGAATTCGTAACGCACTTGTCACAACTTAAGGGAACACAATTTCAAGTTGATATTTCAGAATCAATAGAATATACTAAAAAAATAAACAAGACAGCTAATATTAAATTTATTAAAGACGAAACTGCTAAAGATGATGTATATAAAAGTCATGCAGTTTATGTATGTTCTGGAGAACCACCAAATAGTTTATCAGATCCGCCTTGTCCAAGAAAAGAGCCATCTCTAGTTACTTCAGGAAAACAGCAAAAAAAGACTGTTAGACCTACAAAAACTAAAGTATCAAAAGCACCAGTTTCGAATGTCACAAAAACTTCGCAAGCCGCAAATGCAAATAAATCTTCAACAACGGTATCCAGAAAAAATTCAACTGGCCAATCATCAGGAGGAAGAGCTCCTCCTCCTCCTCCACCTGTTTCAAAATCCGAACCAACATATAAAGCAATTTACGATTTTGCAACTGATGACTCTGGAGAATTATCATTTAAAAAAGGAGACGTGCTAGAAATCTTGGAAAAAGATGATAATGGTTGGTGGTTGGCAAAAATGGATAATGAACAAGGTTGGGTACCAAGCAATTATTTAGAAGAGGTCAAACCCGCACCCGTACCTACAAGACGGAATAAACCACCACCACCTACAATACCTACTCAAAAGCAGCAACCTGAGAGAGCATCAACATATGAAAGAGTGACTAAAAAAGAAGAAAAGGATGATGATGATGATGATGTAGCACAGTCTTCAAGTGGTGGCGTGAAAGGAAAGTATGGAGGTGGCGGTGGTGGAAATAACGCGCCTGTTGCAGTATTTCCAGGGATGATGCCAGTTAGTCCTGGAAGTGTGCCACCTTGGAAGGCAGCTTTAGAAGCCAAGAAGAATGCGGCTAAGGTATGTATAAAATGATTAATAAAGCATAAATGTATTATTGAAATTAAGTGTTTTTTTTTAATTTTTTAGGCAAATTCTACTGGAGAAAGTGAGTCAGACCACCCTGCCAAATCCGTAAGGTCAGGAACAGGTATTATAATATATTTTACAATTACTATTTTTAATTTCATTAATACTAAATATTTTTTATTATCAGCTGATCGTAAACCACCGCCTGCCACGGCCAAAAAACCATTTATTCCACCCAAACCGACAACTTCTAGTAATCGACCTGTTGCACCTCCGAGACCTGGCACTACAGGATCAAAAGTATGTTTCATAATCCTTAATTTACCATAACAGAACCAAAAACTTAAGAAAAATTCTTTTGTAATTATTAATACATATATTTAATTTTTTGTAATTCATATACAGCTTAAACAAAAGAATAAATCTCAATCTGACGAAGAGGAAGATTGGTAATAATAAAGTAATAATTAGATTGCGATCCAACTTTTTGAATTATGAGTCATTACTACATAGTTTTGAAATCTGGATTTCTACTTCATTTGGATAATAATCAAAGCCAAAATATTTGCCCCATTTCGGTTAGTAGTGTCAAACTCAAAAACCAATTAACTCAACACTATAAATTATTGAATATAAGTCTAATGGTTATGTCGGTCGGGTAAAAAGTATTCGCGATTTTTAATTTTTAGATAATTTATTTTGCTTATATGAACAATTTTTTAGCAATCTTTTATTTATAGAATATATTGTAGTGGTAATAGCATATTTATTTATATAATATACTGTGTGATAATAGATATGTTGTATTGGTAATGACATATTTATTAATATTATATGACTTTCTTCGTTATCAAACACCATTTAAACACTATTATTTATAAAGAATAATCCTTAGTTATCGCTTTGTTCGTGGAAATTGTTTAAACTGCCAGATCCTATAATTTCTGATGACGTAGATAACGTAATTATACGTAGCACGACTGATTATCGTTATTTTTTATTAGAGATGTAATCGGCTGGAATGGCTCGGCTTGGCTCACTAAAGCCATAGCCGAAGTCAAGCCATAGCATGATGCAGCCAGGCCATGCGGATATCATGGCTGAGTTAGCCAAGTCGTTTAAGTCATGGCTTGGTTTTCTGAGCTGCTGCTAACTATGGCTTAAGCTATTGTGAAGCTACAGGACTTAAATCGGCTACGTCTGAAGCCGGCTTCAAAATCATGGCTAAAGTTTATCAGTTTGGCTCAGGCTATGGCTAAAAGCCAAAGCTGAAAGCCATACTTCCCTGATTCAAGCCATGATTTTAAAGGCTTGGCTTGATAGTGGCTCTGGTATCAAGCCGCGGCTGGAGTCGGCTTCAAGTGGAGCCGATAACGTCTCTATTTTTATTATTAAATAATTAATCATTCTTGAATATTGTATTGGTATTGTACACAATAAGTAAAAAAAAATAATTACAAAGAGAAGGTTTGCATCCTAAATAAAAACCTCAATAGTAAAATAATAACTTTTCGATATCTCCTTTAAAATTTGAGTATAAATGTCTAATAATTTTTTTTTATAAAAAAAAAAATTCTTGGTAAATCATCCTTTATCGTTAAATTGATAAACGACTTACCCTCTCTCAAGATAATTGAAATTAGCATTCCTAGTAAATTATCATAGAAATCTATGGAAATGATATTAAGTTTTCAATTGGGAAGTTGATCAATTATTTTATTTGCTTTTTTATTATTTTATTATTGCGAGGCTAATATGAAGTGTGAGGATGTAACGGCACAAAGCCTCTAGCAGGATCTGTATAAAAAAGTAGTCCCATTGAATAAAGAAAAATAAATTTCTTGATCTTATAATAAAATTTTATCTTTCTACTACCATTATATGGACAGTGCTATAGCATTCAATCCAGTACAAAATCGAAGATTTAGTTGATAATAGCTATTCTGTTAAAGAATCGAAAAATTAGCAAATCTGTTTAACTGGATACCTTTCTAACTGCAAGGGCCAAGTTACCTAATCCGTAACCACTGTAAAATGCCCAATTCTAAGAGAACTCGGATCAAATTCATACGCGTTTAACAAGAAAACCCTTTTTGCCTTCAACTTGAAAATTTTTATTAGGGAAGTGATGTTTATTACGTAATTTTTTAGGGAGGAGGTTAAATAAAAATCATGTAATATTTACTCTTAAGCAGAAATTAGGTGATAAATGTACTTCCCTTATTAGCTCTAAAATAAATTAAATGTTGACATTTTGTTAAATTAGTAAATACTATTTGGATTCTCGTTCTACAAATATTCTCAGTTCGCTTTCTAGAAAAATATGCAACACGATAAAGGAATATATTATGCCAAAACCTTAATTTCCAACCCGGTTAAACACGTATTTCTATTCGTACTTAAAATATTATTAACGCTAATATATGCTTAGTTTGGGATTACGTGAGCACGCCCGCAGCAAAAGCAGGGGATGGGACTACTGTGAGTAAGACTTTCTGTATCACCAGCACAAATAATAAATCACGTGTTTTCGCGTTTTTACGTGTTTTGAATGATCAAAACAACATATGAGATGCAGGCAAATTTTTGAAAAAACATATAAATTTGACATGATTGACATTTTTCAATTATAAATGAAAGTTAATTTGCATAATAAAAAATTTAGATAATGTAAAAGAAAATTTACACGAGGCTTTAATGCGCTTGGTAGCGGATAGCATAAATAACCCGTAGTTTTTTTAATGGTTCTAGCCGTTCTTTTGACGTTATAAAAGAAAATTCGGAGCAGAGAAATTTTTAGTTGCCTCTATGCTTCTTAAGTATAGTTGTAAACAGAAACTAATATGAAAATCAAACCTAGTTTTTTGACGTTTATGGGTTAAATGTGTTGATTGTAGACCAAAGGTCTCTCGACTATAACCCTTAGTTTCATATTATAGCTATATAGTTTTTAAAAACGTTTAATAAGCAATATGCAATTAAAGGTTCTCGAACCAGATATATATATTTTAGCGGTGTGAGATGAGTGTGATTGAGTGTGTGATTTAATATTGATTTACCAACGACTCTCTAGCGTAGTCCGAAAAAAAATAATAGCCATACTTCGTCATTTTGGTGGTACTTTCTTCGTCGTTTTTGGTGGTGTTTCCTTCGTCGTTCTAATGGTGCTTTCTTCGTCGTTCTAATGGTGTTTTATTTCGTCGGTTTGACGATGTTTTCTTCGTCGTTCTGGTGGTACTTCCTTCGTCGTTTTGGAGTAAGTATTTGTCGTTTTGGCGTTTTCTTCGTGGTGTTTCTTTCGTCATTTTGTGGTGTTTCCTTCCTTCGTCGTTTTAGCGGCGTTTCTTTCATCGTTTTGATTGTTTCTTCGTATTTTTTCATCGTTTTAGTGAGCTTCCTTTATCGGTTTGAAGTTTTTTTTTCGTCGTTTTGGTAGTGTTCTTTAGTTGTTTGTGGTGTTTCCTTCGTCGTTTTAGTGGTGTTTCTTAGTATATCCGTCGTTTTAATGACCCTTCCTTTATCGTCTTAGCTTTTCTTTGTCGTTTGGGGTGTTTCTTTGGTCGTTTTGTGGAGCTTCCTTTCGTCGTTTTAATAATGTTTCTTTATCGTCATTATGGCGTTTTCAGTGATGTTTTTCTCTTTTTTTTTTTTTTTTTTTTTTTTATGTATAGTGGTTCTTATCGTTTTAATAGTTTCTTTTTTCGTCGTGTTGGCGGTATTCTTCGCTATTTTAAGGTAGTCTTTCATGATTCGTTTATTTAAAGTGTAAGGTAAAAGTAAAAATAAATTTGTAATAGTTTTTATTGATTAAATACTAAATAAAATTGTTTGGAATTATTATTTTTTTTTTTTTAACAAGCTCCAAAGAACTTGAAAAAAAAACGAAGTACTAATTACTATATTTCAAGGATTTTACTCGGATTATTTTGCAAGCCCCATCATAGTAGGATGCCGGATAATTCCCATTATTGATAAACCGGTCATTATCAATTACTGAATCGAGTAAGAATTTACAGATGCGAAGATGATTTAGTCAAAGCACCAATCTGATTTTTTTTAATTTCAGAACAGAAGAAAGTTTATGGGGATTCATTTGTAAATACAAGGTTGTCAAATTCTGTACACTTTCCACCTTGGCTCAGTGGTAAATTATCCGGTCTGTTTTTCTTGGCCAAGATTTGCAAAATATGATCATTACGTGTCTCGCTTGCCAAGGTTTCATTGTAGATATGCAGATATTTCTCAGGTTAGTCACTAGGAAACCTGGCATGGCATGCCAAGTTGGCATGCCAAAATGGTTAGGTATATTAGGCATGTCTTTATAATTAAATTATATTTATGCAATTTAATTGGTTAAATAATATTTAAGAAAACTTTTTTATTTATCGTTATAATTTTTTTAATTTATATTATGGCTATAGTTGTCGTCCAAATAGTTAATACCCTTAGCCCAAACCTAAAGTGTTTTTTTGACTTAAATTTTGTTTGTCCCAAAATCCAAACCGGTTTAAATTCTAAACTAATCCCAAACCTATTCAAACCTAAAAATACTATAATACAACTAATACTAGCGCTAGGAACAGGTTCGAAGTATAAGATTGGGATTTATACCGGGATTGGAATTTGTGCCTTGTTTGGGATTGGGACTAATTTGGGCTTTATCATGTTATACGTACACAAAAAGTTTCAACTAATACAAATATAGTTAATACCATAAAACGTCCAACTAGTTAGGTTTGGCATGCCAAATGATTTTATGCGCGCCAGGTCACTACCTACGGCATTACGGCTATGACATACTACCATCTGACGTTAGGGTGATCATCAAACTAATCAAATCAAACCATAAGTAGCCATTATATATACTAATTACTATTTGGATATTTTTTATGAAAATCCGAATTTACTGCGGGTAATAACAACTTTCGGTACACTTTTCTCTTGAACTAGCATAATAATTCCTAGTTTAATTTGTTGTGAACAATATTTTAATTTGCCTAGAATAGTGTAATAGAGGCATTTTTTCGGTTTATTTCTTTTACGAGTAGCAATTCTT